GCCGTGCCGAAGCTCGTGCTGTTCTCGTGGGCACGCTCCTGCAACCTGCCCCAGCCCCACTCTCTGGATGCCATCCCTTCCTCCTCCTATGGCGCGCTGCTCGGTGTCCTTGGCACCGGAGCCCGGAGGACACGAGGGTGAGGAGGGCTGGTCTGGCACGCGCCTGAGCATCTCTTCCCGGAGGATCTGCTCCGCGAACTCCCCAGGCACCGAGGTGAGGCTCACGGCCTGCAGTTTCCCTCCGAGGGGCTCCTCAGAGCGCCGTTTCCATTCTCCAGTCGCCACGGACTTTGCCCAGCAGCCACGACCTCTCTAAGGAGCTGCAGAGCGGCTCAGCGAGCCCGGAGTCGGCCGGCTGCTCCAGCACGCGGCACGCACGGCGCCGGGCCCCAGAGACTTGGCCAAACGCAGCCGTCAGCTGGCCCTGCGAGCGCCACAACTGCGTGCGTTCGGTGCGCTGCCCCAACCCGAGCCGGCGAGCGGCGCCAAGCGGGCAGCCTGGCCTCTGGCCCTGGCTGGGGCCGCAGGCAGGGCTGTCGCTCTGCCCGTGTCGCTGCGCGATGCCAGGCGTCCATCTCTCTCTCTGACCGCTGGGCCCGCCTCAGCCTGCCCATTTCCTCTCGCGGCCTGGAGATCCCGCAGTTCCCCGCAGCCAGAGCTCTGGGCGGCTCGGTGGCTCCTCGGAGCTCCGTCCGGCTGCCCGTGTCAGCCCAGAAAGGCTGCGGCCCCTCCGCCTGGCTCTGTGCCTCAGCCCGGCTGTTGCTGAGCGCTCGCCGTGTCGCTGTCAGGGGAGCACCGGCCAGCCCGGCGCAGGGCTTTGGGAGGCTGGAGAGGAATGAGGAGCTGCCCCCCCCACGGAGCTGCGCCCCATCTCAACACAGACGCGGTTCGAGATGATGTTGATGTTTTTATTTTTTGGTCAGTAAGTCCAATTCCAGATCTGACAAATGCCAATTTCAGATCTGACAAATGCCAATTTCAGATCTGACAAATGCCAATTTCAGATCTTACAAATGCCAATTTCAGATCTGACAAATGCCAATTCCAGATCTGACAAATGCCAATTCCAGATCTGACAAATGCCAATTCCAGATCTTCCACGTTCAATTTCGGATCTTCCAAGTCCACTTTCAGACGGTCAATTTTTTCACCATCTTCCCGTGCACCTGCACTCGGTAAATGCAGGTGTATTCTGGATGTCCCCAGTTGCTCTGCACCAGAACCTTGATGTGGCGAAAGGCTCTGGCAGGATGATTCTGCAAAGGAAATGGGGAGGAACAAAGAAATTGCTGGGGTTCCAATTCCCACCCTGTGCTCCACGGCTCGCCCCTGCCAGTTGCTCCTGTTGCTCAGCAGCTCCAGACAGCGAGAGGAGCGTGGCTGTGCAGCCGGAGGGCTCCAGTTGCAGGCCTGTGGGAGCACAGGGAGGGACAGGGAGCAGGCGTCCTCCCTGGCGTGCTGCCCCTGTCCTACCTGGAGCAGGAAGATGTCTAAGAATGCCTTCTGCACATCGAAGGTGAACGACCCGAGCGGAACCTCCTCTTCGCTGTCCACATCCAGCCCCTTGCAAGCAAAGCACAAGGATGGACGCTCAGATTCGTGCACCAAGAGCAAAGCCGTGCGCTGTGTCAGCACGTGGCTGCCCACCCCCCTGCCCCGGGGCTCGGGCAGCAGCCCGGCCCTGCTTCCGCTGGAGCTCAGTCTCGGCCTCGAGGTTTGCTCAGGAAGCCCGAGATGCTTGCCGAGCAAGGCTTAAGAAGGATGCCAGCTCTCCAGCTTAGGAAACATCCCCTTGGGGCACTGCAGTGCTCGGCAGGCGGCGGGACACAGGGCTCTGAGGATGCCTAAAAGCAAGCCAGTCCCTGCTCGGCACTGTGCTGTGCCCAGATCCCAGGCAAAAGAGCAAAGCAGTGACTTACAAAAACAGCAAATTCTTTCGGGGCACTGCTGGGGGAGGCAGCTGGAGTCAGCCCTGGGTCAACGTGTTCCAGAATGACACAAGAGGGCAGGATTTCAGCTGGCAACCCGATGACCACCTGGCCCTGATGTCCCTCCATGGGCCAGCATTGTCCTGGTGAGTCGCCCGGCTGCAAACAGAATGGGAGAGCAGAGGATCAGGAGAGAGCGCTGGGGCCACCGCACTCCTGGTTCAGCTAAGGGCAAAGGCAGCGAGCGTCTGCGGGCCGTACTTGTGCTTGAGAGTGGCTCACGTGTGAGGAATGGGGCAGAAGCACTGGGCCTGAATTCCCCGCCCGACAAAGGGGCTCTCAGTGTCACCGCCAAGGGGAAGATGGCGGCTGGGAAAGCGTCGCAGTGGGACCGTCTCTCTCCAGCACTGCTCCGCCGGCCCCCAGCTCTGCCCACCGAGGGACAGCTGGGATGGCTGTGGCACTGCGGTGTCGGCGGGGAGGAGATCTCTCACCCAGCTGGGACTGAGGAGCGTGGGCCCCACACACACAGCGCTTCAGCTCAGGTGAGGGGAAGCACCGATTTCCAGCACGCCCGGCCCCGTATCGGACCTTGGGCTTCACGGCTTGAGCAACGCGCCGGGCCTGAGGGGAGACCCCCGAGGGGGAGCGAGGGGTGCAAGCGGCGCTGCTGATGGCCGCCACGATACCTGCAGGATGGTATCCGGAGGATTCATGGGGACGATGAAACTGTGGAGCCAGCAAAACCAGCACTTAAATGTGTAGGTAGGAGAAGTTCTGTGCAGGTCGATGGTACCACCTGTAACGATGGGGAGGAGATGAGTGCGAGAGGCAGCAGACATGGAGGAGCTGAGGGGAGCAGGGCTTGCCTGCCTGTGTCCTCACCAATGCTCTTCCGTGCCCAGTCCGGCGTCTGATAGCACTCCTGCCGTGCTCTCAGCTCAGACAGCATCCGCTGGAAGGACAAGAAACCATGTCAGGACGCGGCCACGTCAGCGCGCAGCTCAGCGTGACTGCCAGCACCCGGAGGCCTGACATGCAAGGCCAGCCGCGTCCCGAGGGCTGTGAGCTCCGTGCTGGCCGGCACGAGGGGCCAGGACTGAGGAAGGATGTCCGAGCCCACGGCCACTGACTCTCTGTATTTTCTGGAATCTCCACAAAGACACAGTGAAATACACCTGGGTAGCGACTGCAACTGGAAAGACAGAGAGAAGGTCGTCAGTGCAGGGGTTGCTGCTGGTCCTGTGCCCATGCTGGCTTTTCCTTGGAGCCTGGGAAGCCGCGGGTGGGCGGAGGATGTCGGGAATGGTGCGGGCTGAGGACATGTCTCTGCCCACGGCCTTCAGGGCACTGCAGCCCCGCGGCCCCGTGGTGCAGCTCGGTGCCCCAGCGCTGCTCCCGTTTCCCCTGGCTGCACCCGGCGGCACCGAAAGCAGCGTGGCGGGCAGAATGCCAGCCCTACAGGGAGGCCAAAGCAAGGCCGACTCGAGGATGTCCTCGAGAAGCGGCACCGGGGCCGTGGGGTCCTCCTCGGTCCGCATCCTAACGCTGGGGGGACCGCAGCAGCTCTCGGGCTGAGTGGGACCCAGTGGTGGAGAGCAGCTGTGGAGCAAGCAGGCGGCCAGGATAGGAAGGCAGAAGTGCTGCGCTGGTGCTCCAGTGCCTCTGAAGGCCTCTGCTCACACGGACCTCATCCAGCACAGCCCCGTGGTCGCTGCAGGATGTTTGCTCATCGGGACTCACCAGGAAGCAGCAGAGACAGTGCGACGAACACTCTGGCGCGGTTCATCTTGTGCTGTGAAGCAGCAGCAGCCAGGCATCTTCTAATTCTATTGCGTGCTTTACACAGTCGGCCAGCGGAGGCAGGACCTGATGCTGGTAAAGGCCCGCTCACTTCCGCCGGCTCACAGAGGCTTCTGTGGGAGGAAAGAACCTGGTTGAGCACCGGTCCCACCGTGTGAGAACCGAGGCAGGCGGCAGCAGCCTCCGCAGAGGCCCTCCCAGAGGACGGGCCTTGGGCTGCCCCCCGGCGCCGTCCCGGCTGCAGTGAGGGTCAAACCAGAGGCTTCCCCCGGCTGCCCCTCTCCTCGGGACACCGAGGGCTGTGTGCTCGCTTGCCCCCGGCCCGATGCCACCGGCCGGTTCCCCCCACCTCGTACCTCTGCCCCTGCGCTGATGTGTCCCCAGCAGGGACCTGCTGGCCCTCGCCGACAGCCCGGCTCCCTGCGGGGCACTTAGGTGCCCTGGGGCGCCTTGCGGTCGCAGCCTTTCTCCTCGCCATCGCAGCGAAGGTGAGCCCTGGAAGCGGCACGTCCTCTCAGCACCACGATCCCAAAAGCTCTGAGCCCACTGGGGCTCTGCCAGCTGCAGCCCTTGGCGGGCTGTGATGTCACAGAGGGCAGCTGTGATGTCACAGAGGGCAGCTGTGATGTCACAGAGGGCAGCTGTGATGTCACAGAGGGCAGGGGCACAGCCGGCCCATGAGCAGGGCACGCCCAGCAGCTGGGGGCATGGAGGGCAATTTTGTGCTCCTGTATGACCAAGATGTTGTAATTGCAATATAATCAAAAGAGTAAGGCAAAAGCAAACAAGGATCACAAAAGAGAATAAGTAGAAGAGCTTACCCTTGGGTTGAGCTCACCAGAAGATACCAAAAGAGGAGGATCTCCAGAAGAGATCCTTCCCCTCTGGTAGCCAGCTCTTAAATAGGTCCAGGAGGGGTGGAGCCTGGCTCCACCCCTTCCGGCAGCACAGGTGAATTGCCTTCACCTGTGCTCCTCTGGCTGACTCAAGGCTCACCTCAGGTGATTAATCAGAGGTTCAGGCCGTGACTCAGCAGTTCCCATACAGCTCCCCACTCTGGACCTGAGAGGAGGGCCGGCCACAGTTCAGCCTCGGGTCTCCCTGTGACGCACAGAGGCATTTCTTCATCAAATCACAGGATCTCAGCACCTGAGTTGGGTCGGAAGGCACCTCCCAGCCCCCCCAGCCCCACCGTGATGTTCGGACTCGCTTGGATGCTCAAGGAGGTGATGGAGGGGTTCGGAACACGTTTCCCTTTTGGACTCAAGGGACGGCCTACAGACAGAAATTGCTGTGGACGTTCTCCAAGCTCCGACCCCTTTCAGGCCCTACCTCCTGGCCACATGCGACACGCTCCCTTTCCCCACTGGCCGAGGAACTCGGGGGATCCATTCCCGGCTCGCCCACCACGTCACCCATCCGATGCCTGGCAGCCTCCCTGGCGGCCTCGGTCCAACTTCTCTCTACATTCGGACCGGTTCTCTCCGACCTCCTGGCGCCTTTGGTAAATAAAACTCATTCCGAGGTCACCTTCAGCAGCCGAGTGGCGTCTCGCTTTTGTAAGGACACCCCCTCGTTCCCCGCCGTCCCTTCATCCCCCCGGGACCCACCGCCCCTCCCGGTCCCACCGCCCCACGGGTCCTCAGCACGGAGCCCCGGCAGCCCGAGTGCAGCACCGCTGAGTGCCAGCCCTTGGGACGCTGCCGCTGCCCCCGTCAGACGTGCCGCCGTTCCTTTCGGCTCCTTGTCCTCGCTGCCGGCCGCTCGCGATGCCTCCAGCCGCACACGGCCTCTGTCCCAGCCACCA